AATAAATTTTAAAAATTAGCCAGGCGTGGTAGTGTATGCCTGTAGTTTCAGCTACTTGGAAGGCTGAGGGGGAAGAATTGCCGGAGTCCAGAAGGTCGATGCTGGGGTGGCTATGAGCGTGCCACTGCACTCTAGCCTGGGCGATGGAGTGAGACTCCGACTCAAAAATAAATACATACATACATACATAAAATTGGTAAAAGGAAAAAGAGGACAGAAAAGCTCCCACAGTGGGAGAGAATCCAAGGAGGTTGCCCATTCGCTGTTAACAATTTGCAATGCATGCATTAAAAAAAGAGTGGGGGCAACCTCTTCGGGTCCCCTCCCACTGTGGGAGATTTTCTGTCCTCTCAATAAATCATGTTTTCTAAGAAAGAAAAGAAAAAAGAGTGAACAAGATGACACAGAACTAAACTGTTCTGTGGTTTGTTTTGTTTTTTTGAGTTGGAGTCTCTTGACGCCCAGGAACAGGGCTCACCACAGCCTCAACCTCCTGGGCTCAGGCGATCCTTCCACCTCAGCCTCTTGAATAGCTGGGACTACAGACACATGCCACCACATCCAGCTAATTTTCTTTTTTTTTTCTTTTTTTGTAGAGACAAGGTCTCCCTATGTTGCCCAGGCTCATCTTGAACTCCTGGGCTCAAGCATTCCTTTCACCTCAGCCTCCCAAGGTGCTGGAATTACAGGTGTGAGTCACCGTACCTGGGCTGTTCTGTGGTTTGCTTTTCACTTGCTACCCCATGGTCATCTTTCCATATGAGCAGATAGAGTTCAGTCTTTCTTAAAGGGTCTCGTGTATTCCACAGTATGGATCTACCAACATGTTTTTAACTATGCTGCCTACTAATGAAAACTTAGCTTATTTCCAGTTTTTTTGCCAGCAGAAATATCTCAGTGAATAGTCATATGCATGAGCATTTCTATTAGATCTGTGCTATGGACTGAATCATGATGTTCCCTCAGATTCATACACTGAAATATAATCCTCAGCGTGATAGCATTTGGAGGTGACTTTGGAGGTGATTAGGTCATGAGAGTGGTGCCCTCAGGAATGGGATTAGTGCCCTTGAGATACCCAGAGGAGAGCACAGCTAGCAGACAGGTAGACAAACCAGGAAACGGGTCCCCACCAGACACTGACTCTGCCAGTGCCTCGATCTTGGAGCACCCAGCCTTGAGGACGGTGAGAAAGAAATGGTTGTTGTCTATGATATTTTTGTTACAGCAGCCAGAATTCGGACAATTATTCTTTTAGAACTGGTGCTAAAGGAGGGATATAACCACCACCCAAATCTAATGACCACTTCTGTTTTCTGAGAAGCTCTTCACCATCTATTGCATGGCTCTGGGTGACTCAAAACTTGGGGTGCCTTGAAATCACCAGGGAAGCATAAAAATATAGAGGCCCAGGTTCTGCCAGACCCCACAAAAGCACAGGCTTTTGTCATTGGTTTCTTGGGGACAGCTCCCAGGGGCTGTTCTCCTGGTGCTTGGCAGAAGCCCTGGCACACTTCCTATGTCTGGAGATCTGACTGCAGCTGAGAATGAATGGAGTCATGCATTTGCTGTGTGTGCCCCCTGCTGGCATGGCATGAGTAGACCACGCATCAAAGGCCTGCGTGGGAGAGCATCTGGGCTCTCATGGCCCAGGGCAAGCCCCTTGTAGATGGTGTGATGACAGGGCAGCAACAGTCGCGCTGGCTGCACATCAGTCACCTGGGAACCCTGAAAATAGCAGTGCCTGGTCATGGGCCTGGGCAAGGGTTTTTTTTTTGTTTTTTTTTTTTGAGTCAAAGTCTCTGTCGTCCAGGCTGGAGTACAGCAGCACAATCATGACTCACCACAGCCTCGACCTCCTGGGCTCAGGTGATCCTCCTGCCTCAGTCTCCAGAGTAGCTGAACACCGCCATGCCTAGCAAACTTTTTAATTTTTTTGTAGCAATGAGGTCTCACTATATTGCCCAGGCTGGTCTCAAACCCCTGAACTCAAGTGATTCCCCCACCTCGGCCTCCCAAAGTGCTGAGATTACAGGCATGAGCCACCACACCCAGTTAAGGGGATCTTTCAAATGCTCTCCAGATGACTCTACACACAGAGCCAGGGCCAAGACTATTCTTTGGGCAGAAAGGAACACAGCATCTACAGAAGCATGTGTCATGCCCGTGCCTTCCATCCTGGTGGTTTATTTCAGAAACTCCCCACCTGCCCACATTTCAGAACTGGCTTCAAGCTTGTCAGAAAGACAGATGTGGGGGACCCAGGACCCACCAAGAAATTCTCAATCGAATCTCGGGGATGAGGCTCAGGTCACGGCTCACAACTAGCCCAAGGCAGGGGGCTGTTTGTGCTCATTTGGGGTTTGAATGAGGTTAAGGTCAGATCATTACCACTTAAGGCAGTTTTTTAGCCACAAACTCTTTGTAGGGAAGGGATTCCCAGTCACTGCAGAAAGTGATAACCAGGTGAAGGAAAGGTAGAGAAGGAACAAACAGGCATGTATAATTACTATATAATCGCTTCTTCGTATAACTGAATCGTCACAACTTCCAGAGCACAAATACCCCTGTTACACAGAGGAAGAGATGAGAAGGGGCCTGGGAGCAGCTAGTCAGGCCTCTCTGCAGATATCTGCGGAGGCCTTCCAGGCAGCGGAAACTGCCAGTGCAAAGACCCTGGGGCTGAAGTGTCTTGGCCCACTATGGGAGGGATCTGTGCCGAGCTGTGTACGGGGGAGGCAAGGTGGGATTGGGGTAGGCCACACACGGAGGCCAGCTCTCACAGAAAAGCCATGTGATTCTATTCTCAAGGGTCACTCTGCTGTCAAAACAGAGACCAGTATGCCAAGGATAGAAGCACGGGACTGAAATAACCCCCCGAGCTATGAAGGCGGCTTGGATCTTAATGGCAGGGTGAGGGGGTGAGAAGTGATCAGGTTCTGGTCATATAATGAAAAAAAATGTGGCTGGGCACGGTGGCTCACGCCTGTAATCCCAGCACTTTGGGAGGAGGCAAGAGGACTGTCTGAGTCCACCGGATCGTGACCAGCCTGGGCAACACGGCAAGACCTCGTCTGTACAATAAATCAAAATATTAGCTGGGCATGGTGGCTGTGAAAGGGGCACTGCACTCCAGCCTGGGCGACAGAGTGAGACTGACTCAAAAAAAAAATACTATTCTTTAAAAATTTATTTTAAAGACAGGGTGTCACTCTGTCACAGCTCACTGCAGCCTCCAACTCCTGGGCTCAAGCACTCCTGCCTCAACTTCCAGAGTGGCTGGGACTACAGACACGTGCCACTATGTCTGCTAATTTTTTTTCTGTATTTTGTAGAGACAAGGTCTTGCTATGTTGCTCAGGCTGGTCTCAAACACCTGGGCTCAAGCGATCCTCCTGCTTCAGCTCCCAAAGTGCTGGAATTACAAGTGTGAGCCACAGTGACCATCTTGGTCATATTTTTAAGGTAGACTCATTATAAAACTGTAAGCCAATGGAACCACATGCCATGTACCTTGAAGAAAGAGCTAGCACTTGGGAATGGGTTGGAAGCTCACCAGGCCACACCTACACAAGTGCACACCAAGAATGTACTGCGACACACACAGCTCCTGTGCCCAGAAGGGGATGCCCAGTGCCTACAAACATGAGGGACCTAATCACACTTATATCCCACCACCTTCTCCAGCTGGCAGGAATTAACCTGCAGCAGGAAGTCAACAAATGAAAAGAATCTGTAAGCCCATGCCCTTTCATTTACATATTTAACTAGAAATGAATAAAAATGAAAAGGAACCCTTTCCTCTTGTTCTCAGAATCTCCAAAACAATAGCCATGGATGGTAACTCACACCTGTAATCCCAGCACTTTGGGAGGCCGAGGTAGGATTGCTTGAGCCCAGGAGTTCAAGACCAGCCTGGGAACATAGCAAGGTCTTATCCCTACAAAAATTAAAATACTAGCCAAGTGTGGTGGTGCACACCTGTAGGCCCAGCAACTCGAGAGGCTGAGGTGGGAGGATCATCTGAGCCTAGAAGGTTGAGGCTGTGGTGAGCCTTGACCATGCTACAGCACTCCAGAGTCAGGCAGCGACAGAGATCCTGATGCAAAAAATAAAATCTAGCAAGGACCCAAACAGACACCTGTACGCCAATCCTTGCTTAAAGCAATAGCCAAATGTTCATTCACAGTGGCCAAAGGTGGAAATTCAAATATATATCAACAGCTGAATGAACAAACAAAACATGGTCACTGCACACAATGTAACTCTGCCATAATACAGAACGAGGTACAACATGGATGTAGCTTGAAAACATGATGCCACATGAAAGCCAGACACAAAAGGGCACATAGTGTGATTCCACTTGTATAAAATACCCAGAACAGGCAAATCCAGAAAGACATTAAGCAGACCCACAGTTGACAAGGGCTGGGGGAGACAGGAGAAATTACTGCTTGACAGGCACAGAGGTCCTGTTTGGGATGATGAAAGGTTCTGGAAATGGACAGTGGTAATGACTGTACAACACTGAAAGTGACTTAATGTCCCTGAATGTCCTTACACCTAAAAATGGCTAAAAGGATAAACTTGTTATCTATATCTTACCACAATTTTTAAAAGCCTGGAAGGCTACACAACAAAACATTTAGTGACTGACTTCTGGGTGGCAAAATTATAAAGATGACATTTTCCTTCCTCTTTACTGTTACAAATGATATAATAAACATATGATATTAGTTATGGGGGGAAAAGCATAGAACTAGCTTTATTGTATAAAGAATGCACCAGCACACAGTCCATGTGGTTATTACACTGCAAAGCCTTCCGACGTGGGAGCCACTAGACGTCTAGGAGGTGAACAAAATCTGGCTGGGGTGTTGTATTCACTCAGGTTGACATCCCTGCTGCAGCTGGTGGGCAGGATGAAATCTTCCCCCTTCATGCCAATCCCTTCTGCAACTGGGTACATTAGGGGCACAGCACAAGGCTGTGGCAATCCCTACTGACTGCCGGCAAGCCTTTCAGCATGCCATAACCTCCGACCAAATGCTTAGTAGTTGCACTGGGCTGCTGAGTTTGCAACACACCTGACATTTATTGTTTATTCTCACATCCACTCCATGAGACCGGCGGGACTTCCCACTTTATAGATGTGAAAACCAAGGTGCAGAGAGACTTGATAACCTGCCCCAGGACAGGGAGTTGACAACTGACAGAAACTAGGACTTCCGACTCCAAATCTAGGGCTCCCCACCACACACCCCTGCCTTCAGTTTAACAGTAAACTGTCTGAGTGGTGGCACAGCTTCCAAGAACCGGCTCTGAACAGATAACACAGTATGGCATTTGCACTAAGCACCTTTTCCCTAAACCCGTCTGCCTCATGAATTTCTTCATCCCAAAACACAAGTTCCCAGGGGCCCAGGCAAAGCCTCCAGGTGCCTGATCCCCTTCTTCAGCCTTGCCCACCCAGAGGCCCGGCTGTCACTTGCGCGCATCGAGCACCCCAAACACCTCCGTGAAACGCTCTCTGTCCAGGATGCGTCCATACCGCAGGGTGAGATAGAAGGTCTGCTTCCCACTGTACTGCTGGATGCGCACAAACAGCTCCTGGGGTCGGTCCTTGGTTTCTGTCAGGGGTATCACATCTTCCATGGGACAGTAGGTGTCCTGTCGCCAGCCCCAGAAGGTGAGGTGGGCCACACGCAGCACGGTGCCAGACTCATTCACGTACAGGATCCCCACCAGTCTCCGAAAGAAATAGCTCATCCAGCACAGCATGGCCAGGGCAAAGCCAGCTATCCCGCTCATGAGGCACACGGAGTTGAGCGTCAAGATGCCCTGAGAGTACCAGTAGAAGCCTGGTGGCAAAGCCACCACTGTCAGGGCAGTCTGCGCCAGCTTCAGTCGAGACACGTACCCTAAGGCTCTGATGGCATCAAAACGGTAGACCATCTGGAATTTTTCAGTCTCTGTGCCTGGTGGCTTCTCCTTTGAGGTGGACAACTTGCTCTCCACCCACCTCTTGGGATCCTTCTGCCCACTGCAGCACCACAGCCTGGGGAGAGGCCTCCCCCATACAGCTGGCCCTCGAAACCTAGGCACAGCGCGAAGGAGGGCAGCCTGGAAGAAACACAGGAGACCAATTCTCTCAGTAACTCAGCCATGCTAATCGCACAATGAGCATTGCAAAGCATCGCACATGGAGGCTTCCACCAATCCTGTGAGGTCACCATTACAGCCAGAAGAGGGAAAAGTAAAGCCGGATGCTACCTCATGTGAGCTTCACAAAAGCTACCTGAGACAGGTACTCCGACTTCCACTTTACTAAGGAAACTAAGCCCAGAGAGGGGAAGGAATTTACCCAAGCACACAGCCAGTGAGTGCAGCAGAGTCTGACTCTCAACCTGGTCCTCTTTCCTCCGACAGTTCCAAATACAGGAGAGGAGAGGCCGCCTTTATTCCTTCAACAGATACCAGGAGAGGACCAAGTCTGGGCTGGACACTGGGGAGAGGCCTCCCCCATACAGCTGTGTGAACACTTCCACAAGGCTGTGTGAACACTTCCCCACGCAGGACACTAACTAATCCATGTCCTAGTGGGGTGCTCGAGCAACAAATCTCTGCGATATTTATCACAAGAACTTTCCAATTCTCTGTCTGGTTCACGGGTTATCTTGGGTGCTAGACAGAGCTGGTTTCTCTTAGCTTAGTCTGAGAAAGAGGGAACAGGTGAAGACGCAGTGAGGCAGGGAGGCCCCAATCCGCAGCACAGGGATCTTGTGAGATTCTCAGGTAGCGGGAAAAGCTCTGGGTTTTGGGGTCAGGCATGGGTTCCAACCCTGGCTCCCTCCAGCAGTCACTAGCTGTGGATCCTTGGGCAAGTTATTTCACCTCTCTGAGCCTCGGTTTCCTCGCCTTTCAAAATGGAGCTGAGAATACAGTGAATGAGGTGACGGTTTTAAGGCCCCCAACTTAGGACCGGATGCACGAAGAGAGCTCAAGGACTTTCAGTCATCACTACGGTGGGCGCACGTGTCCCGAGGAGGGCAGAGGAAGCCAGGAAGAGCAAATTGCCACCCTCGCTGGAGTCTCCTCCCGCGCAGATTCTGCTAGAGGAATCCTGTCCCAGCCTTGACCCCAACGCTCAAAGCGTGTCACTCCCTCAGGATCTGCCACCCAGCTTCTTACCATGGCCCCGCCGACTGCTGCCGGAAGTAAACCCTTCGCCCCCGGAGCCCCTAAGAGCGCATGCTCGGACTATGAGACGGACGTGGCGCGCGTGGCATTCTGGGATTTGTGGTCCAGGGGTCGTGGCTGACGCTGGCCCTAGGCATTGTGGGAGCGGAGTCTCCCCTTCCCGACGTGCTCTTCCCCGAACACGGAAGTTCCGGGCTGACTTTCTGGTACTTACCGGGTGTACGTGGACACTGGGGACATGGCGGAGCCTGTGCTCTGCCTCTTCGACGTGGATGGGACCCTGACATACCCGCGGCAGGTAGGTGGAGCCCGACGGGCTGGTGGCAGAATCTCTGCTGCTCCCAGATAGGACTGACGACCAAGGGGCGGCTGGGGACCGCCTCGGGGGGCTGAACCCTATTCCCGTGCCCTAGAAGAAGGACGGAGGCCCCAACCAGCTCTTCAAGCCCTCAGGGTGCTCGGAAAGACGACATGGGGCTGAAAAACTCTTAGGAGCAGAAAACTTGTACTGAGTTGGAAAATGCCATTCGGGACTCGCAAGCCCTGGGGACTGATGGACCAGGATTCGTACCCCAGGTCAGGCCTCCTCATCAGCTAAGTGCCCTCCTCAGCCCTGTCATCAGTGGGCTGTGCCGTGTAGGATATGAAAAGTGTAGCTTTCCAGGTCAGACAGACCTGGAGGAGTCTTGCCTTCACCTCTCCGCAGCTGTGTGACCTTGAACAAGGCAGTTAATCTCTGAGCCTGGGCGTCTGCAGCTCTAATGGGCACCTCACCTGTTCCATATGGTGTTTGTGTGGATCAGATGAAGTTATGAAAGTATCTTGCACATTCTAGGCCTCCATAAATATTAGCTGTCCCACCCCCCTCCAGCCCATGCTTTGGACGGGGTGACGGAGGAGCCCTAGATCACGTCAGGCAACCTGCTGAGAGCCACTTGCGCCCTTGGAAACTGACTTTCCACTTCCAGACTTTGCTGCCACGGGCACGGATAAGTTTTAGTAAGATCAGCCTTGCGATGACGGTCTCTGTCCCCCTTTCAGAAATTAGTCATTGAACACCAGCCTTTCAGACTTGAGACTGAGCCCCAACATCCTCAGTATCCTCAACTTCTACCCCAGCCTTCTCAGTTTTGGCTGGGTGGTAGCGGCTTTGTGCTTTAGCAGTCCATAGCAAATGGGTGTGACCTTGGACATTTTGTTTCAAGCCGCAGATTTGATCCGTCCAGTGATACACGCAACTCACAGGTTCTCCAAAGGCCCTTTATGACTCAGATTCAGCAATCACACACTAGTTGGTTGCTAAAAGCCTAGTGGTCTAAAGCTGGGATCAGCAAAAGGGCCAATAGCAAATCCCTTTGTCTATGCAGACCATATGGTAGCGAGTAACTTCTCCACTGTAGTGCACAAGCAGCCATAAACCATCTGTACACAGAGGGGCTGTGTACCACTACAATTATGTACTTATTTGTTTACTACTTAAAACATAAGGAAACTGAGACCCAGAGAAGTCCTGACCACCTCAGTGTCACACAGCAGACCTGGGACAAGCCCCTGGTTTGTCATTTCCTGTTACCAGGCTAAGGCGGAATCTGTTCTAGCTGCTGGATAAGCCATTCAAGAATGAGCTTCTGATTTTTTGGCTTTCCCAGTTCTGAATTTTAGAGGCCACTAGTGCAGTTTTAGATTTTGTCTGCTAGGTCGAGATTCCCCTATAAGAGGTGGAAAAGATTGTGCTCCATTATATGCCATTCTGTACAATTTTTTTTATTTTTTATTTTTTTGAGTTGGAGTCTCACTCTGCCGCCCAGACTGGAGTGCAGTGGTCGCTCCCGGCCACCGCAGCATCGACCTGCTGGGCTCCGGCAATCCTTCCGCCTCAGCCTTCTAGGTAGCTGGAATTACAGGCGCGCGCTACCACACCCAGCTAATTTTTTGATTTATTGTAGAGATGAGGTCTCGCCAAGTTGCCCAGGCAGGTCTCGAACCCGCAGGCTCAGGCAATCCACTCATTTCAGCCTCCTAAGGCACAGTATTACAGGCTGAGCCACCGAGCCCGGCTACAATTTTATTTTAATCATATGCATGTATTACTCTAAAAATTTTTTAAACAAAAGATGATTGAGCTTCAGATGTGTGTACACACATAGTTGTGACAGCCCGACATGCCTCCAGACATTGCCACATGACCTCCCAGAATAAAATTCCCCTATTTGAAAACTTGTTCTAGATGCAATCTTATAAGTCCAGATCTATGGAGACCATTTATTGGGTCGCTGTGTTTTTTAAATGTCTAGTAACGTTTTAAGTAAAGATATTCCATGTAGATGTACAGCTAAGATTGCCCAAACTACTGAGTTATTAAGACTTTAAAAAATACATTATGATTTGTCTTAATATAGGGATATCTTTTCATCTTAGTTTAGATTTTTTTTTTTTGAGTTGGAATCTCACTCTGTCGCCCAGACTGGAGTGCAGTGGCCACTCCCGGCCACCGCAGCCTCGACCTGCTGGGCTCCAGCGATCCTTCCGCCTCAGCCTTCCAAGTAGCTGGAACTACAGGTGTGCGCTACCACGCCCTGCTCATTTTTTGATTTATTGTAGAGATGAGGTCTCACCAAGTTGCCCAGGCGGGTCTCGAACCCGCAGGCTCAGGCAATCCACTCACCTCAGCCTCCCAAAGGCACGGGATTACAGGCTGAGCCACCGAGCCCGGCTAGTTTAGATATTTTAAAAAATTATCACACTGTTTGAAATGTAACTGGCATAAAATTATACCATGAAGACCACTGTCTATGGACAGGAGCTTTTCTTTGAGGAGAGACTAAGACAATCTAGTTATCTTATTCTTATGCTTTTTTTTTGAGTTAGAGTCTCACTCTGTTGCCCAGGCTGGAGTGCAGTGGCATGCTCCCGGCCTCCACAGCCTCAGCCTGCTGGGTTCCGGTGATCCTTCTGCCTCCTTCCAAGTAACTGGAACTGCAGGCATGTGCTACCATGCCTGGCTAATTTTTTTTTTTTAATTGTAGAGACAAGGTCTCGTCAAATTGCTCAGGTGGGTCTCGAACCCGCAGGCTCAGGCAGTCTGCTTGTCTTGGCCTCCCAAAGTGCTGGGATTACAGGCTGAGCCACTGAGCCCGGCCATTCTTTTTTTTTTTTTTGAGTTGGAGTCTCACTCTGTCTCCCAGACTGGAGTGCAGTGGCCGCTCCCGGCCACCGCAGCCTCGACATATTGGGCTCCGGCGATCCTTCCGCCTCAGCCTTCGAGGTAGCCGGAACTACAGGCGCACGTTACCATGCCCGGCTAATTTTTTTTTTGATTTATTGTAGAGATGAGGTCTCACCAAGTTGCCCAGGCGGGTCTTGAACCCGTGGGCTCTGGCAATCCACTCACCTCAGCCTACCAAAGGCACAGGATTACAGGCTGAGCCACCGAACCCGGCCAGCCCAGCCATTCTTATGTATTTTTTGTTTTGTTTAATTACAATAAATTCTGAGCTTCCTCTTTGGTCTTCTTATGTTTTTTTTTTTTTTTTTTTTTGAGTTGGAGTCTCACTCTGTCGCCCAGACTGGAGTACAGTGGCCAATCCCAGCCACCGCAGCCTCAACCTGCTGGGCTCTGGTGAGCCTTCCGCCTCAGCCTTCCAAGTAGCTGGAACTACAGACGCGCGCTACCACACCTGGCTAATTTTTGATTTATTGTAGAGATGAGGTCTCACCAAGTTGCCCAGGCAGGTCTCGAACCCGTGGGCTCAGGCAGTCCACTCACCTCAGCCTCCCAAAGTGCGGGATTACAGGCTGAGCCACCGAGCCCGGCTTGTATTTTGTTTTAAAACCAACAACTTGGCTGGGCGCAATGTCTCACACCTATAATTCCAGCACTTTGGGAGGCTGAGGTGAGAGGATTGCCTGAATCCATGGATTTGAGACCAGCCTGGGCAACTTGCTGAGACGTCATCTCCACAATAAAATTTAAAAATTAGCTGGGCATGGTGACGCGTGCCTGTAGTTCCAGCTACTTGGAAGGCTGAGGCTGAAGGATCACCTAAGCCCAGCAGGTTGAGGCTACAGTGACCGTGAGCATGCCACTGCACTCCAGCCTGGGTGACAGTGAGACTCCTACTCAAAAAAATAAAAAATAAAACCAACAGCTTAGCCAAGTACAGTGGCTCACACCTGTAGTCCCAGAAAAATTAGCCAGGCATGGTGACATTTACCTGTAGTCCCAGCTACTTAGGAGGCTGAGACAGGCGGATCGCTTGAGCCCAAGAGTTGGAGGCTGCGGTAAGCTGTGATTGTGCTACTACTTTCCAGCCTGGGTGACAGAATGCGATCCGTCTCAAAAGCAAAACAAGCAAACAAAACTTAAATCCATAAGTGGAACACAGTATAGCATTTAAAAAGAATTGAGCTAGAGGTGTGTGTTGGCATGAAAAGATCACCACTGCATTGTGTTGAAATCAGCAAGGTCTCTGCAACAGCATAGAATGATGACATTTATGTTTCAGGAATACCTATCTGTGTATGTGCAAATAGGCAGGAGTGTAAACACACAGAAAAACAGCTGGGACATTGCATGACAGTTACATGACAGCTGTTAACATACTACTAGTGGGTTTAAAATTTGAGAAAAATAAGTAACACTTAAGTTCGTTCTAGTAAAAAAAGTTGATGTCCCCAAATTACAACTAAAATACGTGAACTTATCTACAGACCTCATAGCTGCATTGGCATGTATGAAGATAAGGCTTGTGTCACTATTGCAGTTTTAGTCTCCTTTTAGGAGTTTTAGGCTCGTGACTGCTATATTTTCCTTCTTGAAACGTAGAGAATTACTGGAGAAATGGATGACTTTCTACAGCAATTAAGACAGAAGATCAAAATCGGAGTGGTAGGTGGGTCGGACTTTGAGAAAATGCAGGAGCAGCTGGGACATAATGGTAAGTGACACATTGTTAATGACATTTGGTAAAAGATTAACTTCTTGTAAGAATGTTGGACCTGTTGACAGGTATCATAGGCAGCCCCAAAACCCTGTACCCCTATGGTAGATTTCCTGCTTCCTTGTTTGGGAAACATTTTCTCTGCCTTTGTTTTTTCCTCTGCTTTTAATCCTATAAATACATTTCTGGAGTTGCTGACGGAGCTCTTGGTACCCACGCGCGTGGGTGGATCCGCCCAGAAAGGTGAATGATTGTGACGCTACAGGGGGTGATCTCTCTGCCTGGAATACTTCTGGCATGTCCCTAGTCACTGCCTTTCAGCCCCAGCTCTGGCTGGTCTCCTGAGTGTCCTTCTCACCCAGGTGCAACAGTGCCCTCTGGATCTAGGTGCCTTCTTCCTGCTGCCCTAACACAGAGTTTCCCACATTCCCTAATCATGAGTCACCTGGGCCCCACCCCACCCTGAAACCAAGTCTCTAGCACAGAACTCTGGGAAGCCAGAGAGGCTAGCTGGACAGGTCTGCAGCACCTGAGAGTCATATATATATATTTTTTAATCAGAGTCTCACTCTGTCCCAGGCTGGAGTGCAGTGGCATGCTCACGGCCACCCACCACATCCTTAACCTGCTGGGCTCAGGTGATCCTTCCTCCTTAGCCTTCCATGTAGCTGGAACTACAGGCACACACCCCCACGCCCAGCTACTTTTTTGATTTATTGTAGAGATGAGGTCTTGCCAAGTTGCCCAGGCTGGTCTCAAACCCGTGGGCTCAGGCAATCCTCTCACCTTGTCCTCCCAAAGTACTGGGATTATAGGTATGAGCTACTGCGCCTGGCCTGGGAGTCATATTTTAGCAAGTACCCAAGACCATCTAGTGCCCAGCCCTACTTGTGTGGCATTCTCTAATTATTGAAAGCTGTCTGGTTATATGTTTGTCCTGAAGACCAGGACTGTGGGTTATTCAGCTACATGGCCCCAGTCTCCTGGGATGCCCAGCCTGTGAGAAATAGTTGGTGGAGGCCAAATGTGGTGGCTCATGCCTATAATACCAGCACTTTGGGAGGTCGAAGTGAGAGGATTGCCTGAGCCCATGGGTTTGAGAGCAGTCCAGGCAACTTGGTGAGACCTCATCTCTACAGTAAATTGAAAAAGTAACTGGGCAAGGTGGCACATGCCTGTAGTTCCGGCTACTTGGAGGGTTGAGGCAGAAAGATCACTTGAGCCCAACAGATCAAGGCTATGGTGGCCATGAGCATGACACTGCACTCCAGCCTGGGCGACAGAGTGAGACTCTGACTCAAAAAAAAAAAAAAGAGTCAGTGGAGAGATAGATGAGTTGATTGTTCTTTTTTTTTTTATTTTAGAAAGCAGGATTTATTACGAGGTCAGAAAAGCTTCCGTGGTGGGAGGGGACCTGAAGGGGTTGCCTGATTGTTCTTTTAACTCCTGCTTTCCCCAGCGTCCTCATGTCTTGGAACTAGTTCCTCTAGAGCAAGATTTCTCAGCTTCTGCACTTCTGACATTTAGATGAGGTCATTCTCTGTTACGGGGCTGTCCTGTACATCATAGAGTAGCTATATCCCTGTCCTCACCACTGTATGCCAGTAGCATGTACACACACGCGTGCACACACAGTTGTGACAACCAGAAATGTCTCCGAACATTGCCAAATGACATCTGAGGGTAAGATTGCCCCCATTTGGGAACTACTGTCCTGGATGTAATATCTTAGAGTTCAGATCTCTGTGGACTTCTTTATTGGATCACCATTATTAGAAGAGTAATCTGTGCAATCCCTTTAAACCTCTCTGTCCACTTGCACTTCAGTTAATGTAGCGTTCCTGTTTAGAAACGCTATAAACAGCACAACGTGGTGCGTTAAGCCCTGGAAATCCTGTTAGCTGGTCCTGATCACCCTTTCTCCTCTAGTTGTAGCTCTCATCACATGCTCAGGGAAGGCTTGCGTCAGTGTAGCATGGTGTCTGCACCTTCCGGAGAGTGTGCAGCAACAGAATTCAAACTTTCATAGGCTAGAGGAAACCTGAAGGTCCACCTGTGTCAAAATCACCAGGGAAGCTTAGTGCGATACAGTTATGCTGCAACACATGCAGCACATGGGGGATCTGCATTTTAACAAGTGCCTGCAGTCTGAGAATCCCTTCATTAAGCATTAAGTGGATCATTTCCAAATCTGACAGATTATAAGAATCACCTAAAAGGTTTTTTTATAATTTTAAAAATTTTAGTTTTAGGTTTTTTGGAGAAACAAGGTCTCACTATGTTGCCCAGGCTGGTCTCAAACTCCTGGCCTCAAGTGACCCTCCCTCCTCCGCCTCCCAAAGTGTGGGATTATGGACATGAGCCACCATACCTGGCCATTAAAAGAGCCTAAAAAAAAATCTGATTTTTAGCCTGTTCCCTGGCGATTCTGAGAAAGTCTGAGAGCAGAGCTTGAGGATCTGCAATTTCACTTGTTGCCCTGGTGCTATTGGCTCACAGGGAGGTTTGGGAAACATCATAGGCCAGCATTTTCCTTTACACACAGGCAGGTTGAAGTCAGGGACACAAAAGAACCTGTCACCGAGTAGCTCATCTGCAACCCCATCATCATCATTGCACTTTGTAACCAAAAGAGCATTTTTTTCTCCTCTTATTTTAAATCTTAATCTTTTCTAGGAGTCTTTTTTTTTAAAGAGCTTTTCCCCCTCTTTCCCAGTCTGTTAAGGTGAGGTAGTCTTTCACGCTCCTTCCTGGAGGTGAGCAGTTGTATGGGTGGTGGGTGCTCATCAAAAAAGTAAAAATGTGGGCTTGGATCGATGGCATTCTATGTGTACTTTTGTTTTGATTGTAGTGATTGAAAAATACGATTACGTGTTTCCAGAAAATGGCTTGGTAGCATACAAAGAAGGGAGGCTCATGTGTAAACAGGTGGGTTCCAAGTATCTGAACTCCTATGTACTATTAAAGTGGAATTTGTTTGTTTTTTTGTTTTGGGTTGTGTTTTGTTTTTGTTTTGTTTTTGAGTTGCAGTCTCACTCTGTCACCCAGGCTGGAGTACAGTGGTGTGATCACAGCTCACTGCAGTTTCAAATGCCTGGGCTCAAGTGATCCTCCTGCCTCAGCCTCCCGAGTACCTGGCACCATAGGTGTGAACCTCCATGCCCAGCTTTAAATCCAACATTTCTATTGTGACTAGAGCAGGCTGCTGTGAGCGCTTTTAGAAAGAACTATGGTACTCTTAGTAGTCACAAGATCATTCTGTTCAGACATAAGAGAAAGCTGAAATGTGTTTTCTATCAATGTCTCTAAATTGTATTTTAATTGAATAAAAGTGGCAGCAATAAAGTCTTTGGGCCTTCCAGGAAGCATCTGAAAAATAATGAATACAAAAATCTTGAGTAATGAAGCAGAAAATGCTTTTGACTCAAGCCTTTCTGGTTTGCCTGATGATTTTGCCCAGAGAAAGAATTAAACAGGCAGTGGGGCATGTCACTGGCACTGCTACATCAGCCTAGTCACTCTCAACAATAGTGGTGGAAGGCCTGGGTTTGCTGTAAAGCCGTTTCAGAATAATCAAATAATGCCTGGATCAAATATCAAATAACACCAGTATTTCCTCTATCTAGAACATTCAAGACCACTTGGGTGAGGCTCTGATCCAAGATTTAATCAACTATTGTCTGAGCTACATTGCGAAAATTAAACTGCCGAAGAAGAGGTGGGTTTGCTTTTAACAAAGAGGCACTGCTGGAACATGGAATGATGCCATTTGGCAGGTTGGGTGGGTATCTCCAAGCCTGATAGGTTATAGGAATCACCTAAGAGCTTTTTAAAAAATTCTGATGTTGGCCGGGCTCAGTGGCTCAGCCTGTAATCCCAGCACTTTGGGAGGCTGAGGTGAGTGGATTACCTGAGCCCGTGGGTTTGAGACTAGCCTGGGCAACTTGGGGAGACCTCGTATCTACAATAAATAAAAAATTAGCCAGGTGTGGTAGCGCACACCTGTAGTTCCCGCTACTTGGAAGCTGCTTGGAAGGCTGAGGCGGAAGGATTGCAGGAGCCCAGTGGGTTGATGCTGGAGTGGCTGTGAACATGCCACCATACTCCAGCCTAGGTGATAGAGTAAGACTTCAACTCAAAAAAAAAAAAAAAAATTCTGATGTTGATTTTAGCCTGTTCTCTGGAGATGCTGATTCAGAAAGCCTGAGAGAAGAGCTTGGAAACCCACATTTCTGCTGGCTGTCCGGTGCTGCTGGTTCATAGCAGGGGTTGATTGCCATTGTGGGCCAACTCATTTAAATTCGAAGCTCAGCACTTAGTAAGGAATAATTGGAGACTGTCTGTAAAGCCACCAGTAAGAGAATGGTTATATTAATGATGGCTGTCCACATGATGGAAATTTTGTGCAGCCGTTGAAAACCTTATGTCTCAAAGGCTGTCCATAAGAGGAAGTACAAGAAAGAGTAGATGAAAAAGGCAGCAGAAATCCTAGATCTGGAATTCTCAGGCTACGCCAAGCCAGACTCACCCAAAGCCAAGTCTGGGAGACCTGCGGTGTTCAAGGAAATGGGAACTAATGACCAATGTTTAAAAGTTAAGTTTCACAGTTTGAGACTCACGGATTTCTGATTTCCGTCAGCAGATCTGAGACCTGGCTACTCTGGGTCCCCACCCCCATGTGGCAGCTATTGCCAGAGCCGCATCCCCCTCCTCCTGTCCCCCCACGAGGTCATTCACTCGTCTTTCCCAGGCTGCTCATCTCTGACCGCTGTAGGCCTTTGATTCGGGGGCCTGTCTCCTGCTCTGGGTACTTTTACTACCTCAGTTTCCATTTTAAAACTAATAGTAAGCCAGGCTCGGTGGCTCAGCCTGTAATCCCACGCCTTGGGAGGCGGGGATGAGTGGATTGCCTGAGCCCGTGGGTTCGAGACCTGCCCAGGCAACTTGGTGAGACCTCATCTCTACAATAAAACAAAAAATTAGCCAGGTGTGGTAGCGCGCGCCTGTAGTTCCAGCTACTTGGAAGGCTGAGGCGGAAGGATCACCGGAGCCCAGCAGGTCGAGGCTGCGGTGGCCGTGAGTGTGCCACTGCACTCCAGTCTGGGCAACGGAGTGAGACTCCAGCTCAAAAAAAAAAAAACCTAATAGTAGTATACAAAAATGCCCACAGCAGGAAGATCAGCAGGAAATGGACCCAAATGCCCGCGGTGGCTAGGTTTGGGTGGTGAAGCTCCATATGATTTGTTGAAATACTTCTCCTTTTCTCCCCTGGTTTTCAATATTCTTACGTAACACTTTAATCACCAGGGGAGAAACATGTTTTAAGTGGAAATTAAATTTCAGGGCAGGCCACACCTCAAGAACCTGCTTCAGACTGTTCAAATTAATGAGACCAGAGCCCCTGCTCAACCTCTCCAGTCGGTACACAAGCTTTCCCTTGCCCAGGAGGGGCCTGGATGAGACAGGCGGGACCGGTTGTTGTTGCAGCTGAGTGATGGGCGCGTGAGGGTTCCCTGTCCCCTTCTGTTTACTTTTGAGTGTGTTAGAAATTCTCCATAGTAAAAAGTTAAAATATACGTGTATCCCAGGTCAGTTCCATATTTACTTTGGGCAAAGCATTAAGGGAGGATAAGAGAAGTAAGACAAGGCATCATCCTGTTCTCAAAGAGCTTGCCATCTAGTAAGGAGAGGGATGTATAGAGTTGTAATTCCAGAACAGTGTGAAATACCTGGTGAATGCAGGAGGTGGGCTGAGACCCACTCTGATCTGTGTTTGTCCGTGTCTTTGGCAGGACTGACTTCAAGCCCTGCATAGATCAGGGAGATTCAGTTAGACCTCAGAGGCCCAGATCTGCAGGGAGGAATGAAGGCTTGGTGAGCCACCCTGCTCTCATTTTCGAGATGGTTTTCTCAAATGCATCCACTTCCCTCTGGGCCTCGGGGCTGAGAGTAGTGACATGTCCTTGAGTTGGGGGAATAATTGAGCTCTTTATCTTATCATTTAGGATGCATATAGCCCCAGAGTCACCCCGAGCATGGCCACCAGTCCCCCAGTGCCTCAGCACGTGTGGAAGACACGGCTGGGTCTCTGCCAGCTCAGAGCCACCTGGACGTGGGATTCTGGAAAGTTTTGTAGGCATGCATACTTGGTTATGTAATTTGCCTCCCGAGCACAGCAGAGGAAAGGCGCCCATGGGCTGAGACTCTGCTGTCTTTACCTTCTCTGATGGGTAGTCATTGCATGCAGTACACAGTGTCCCTTTATGTAAACTGATTTTGTGTATATTTGATCTTCACGAGACCCATTGGAAGGGACCACAGCAGGTGCCATGAGCCTTTCTGCCTGCGGATAAGTGAAAGCTTGAGAGGGGCCCAGAGCCACACAGCGTAGTCAGAGGCCACATCAGCCTTGCACTGGTTCTTCAGCCCTGCCCTTGGCACAGGCCTCTCGTATTTACAGCGACTGGTGACTGCCATCAGGGCTGTGTGCTCAAATAGCAGGAGACCAGGGAAGGTGTTTCGTGGGCTCCCAGGTGTCCACGTTGCGCTGAGAGGCTTTACAGCGCAGGGTTTGTCACAACACCCATACATTTCATCTGCAGGATGAGTATCTGGCTCACAAGTTATCTGAGTTCTTAAACTGTTTTGAAACTCAAACCGGAAACATCGTGGGCAAAATTATTTTTAACATATTCACCTGAAGTGACTAAAATAATGTGAGGCTGTTCTTATTTGCTGTGATGAGGTCACACTGAGAAGCAGAGCTGCTACAGAAGTTGACTTTCCTCGGTTACGCCTGAGGTGTGTGGGACGATTCTTAGGACTTCTCCTCCTCGCCTGGCACAGTCTGTTCAAGAGCTCACTGTCAGAGTGGGTGTCTGGGACATGTATGTGCCAGCTCCTCAGGGCACTGATGGTTCGTGGAGTGCTGGTCATCATATCAGAGCTCTTTATTAACTGCAGAAGTCTCTTCCCAGCAGCAATACTGTCCAACAGAAGTAGAGAGTGAGCTGCATATATAATTTTTAATTTTCTGTAGGTGTATTTTTAAAAGTAGAAAGGAACAGATAAAATTAATTTTAATAATATATCTTCAGCCCAGGCAACGTAGCAAGACTTCGTCACTACAACAACAAAAAAAAATCAAAAAAATCAAAAAATTAGCCAGGTTGGGCTTGATAGCTCAGCCTGTAATCCCAGCACTTTGGGAGACCAAGGCGAATGGATTGCCTGAGCCCGTGGGTTTTTGAGACCAGCCTGGGCAACTTGGTGAGACCTCATTTCTACAATAAATCAAAAAATTAGCTGGGCATGGTGGCGCATGCCTGTAGTTCCAGCTACTTGGAAGGTTGAAGGGGAAGGATCACCTGAACCCAGCAGGTCAAGGCTGTGATGGTCATGAGCGTGCCCCTGCACTCTAGCCTGGGTGCTGGAGTGAGACTCCAACTCAAAAAAAACACAAAAACTAGCCAGATGTAGTGGTGTATGCCTGTAGTCCCAGCCACTCAGGAGGCTGAGGCAGGAGGATCACCTGACCCTAGGAGGTTGAGGCTGCAGTGAGCCATGATCTTGCTATTGTACCCCAGCCTGGGCAACAACAGCAAAAGCTATGTGTGTGTGTGTGTGTGTTTTATTTAGCCTAATATATCCAAAATACAACCATTTTAATACAAAGTCAACATAAAGCATTGCTGATGACTACATTCCTTTCAAATCTAATCTCAGTTTGAATGAGCCGCATTTCAAGGCTCAGCAGTCCCGTATGTTCTGTGGCTACCGTATTGCACAGCACAGCTCTGAGAAACATTGATCACACCAGCTGCAGCTTTTTAGAATTTCCCAACTTTTTAGGCTGCTTATCTATAATGTTGCCCAAATAAATAATGCATCTGGGGGAACCTCTGTCACCTCTTCCTCCCCAGGGGCACTTTCATTGAATTCCGAAATGGGATGTTAAACGTGTCCCCGATTGGAAGAAGCTGCAGTCTAGCAGAACGCATTGAGTTCTACGAGCTCGATCAAGTGAGTCTTTTTTAAATATCCTGGTGAGTGACTGACTGGGTATAGGAAAGTAAGGTGGGTCTGCAGCTTTGCAGCTGGTAACTAAAGGGTGCTTTCTCAACTACAGTGCAATAGACAATTGTATCTTTTTGTTTTTCTCAGAAAGAAAATATAAGACAAAAGTTTGTGGAGGATCTACGGAAAGAGTTTGCAGGAAAAGGCCTCACGTTTTCCATAGGTACTGTGTATTCAGATGTGCTGCTGATGTGGGATCCCGTTTGCCAGGCATTTGTTGTGGGCCAGTGAGCTACCGAGTCTGGATTCTGCCCAGTTTTAGGGTAGGCAAGAGGATTGAATGAGCCGTGCAGTCTATAGAGGAAACCCAACCACTCTCTTTTCTACATAATCAGCCATAGCAGGATGTGTCCATCAGGAAACACCTTTCATACTTTTGCATTTGGTTCTAAATTCTTTTTTTTCTTTTTTTTTTGTTTGAGTTGGAGTCTCACTCTGTCGCCCAGACTGGAGTGCAGTGGCCACTTCCGGTCACCACAGCCTCGACCTGCTGGGCTCCGGCGATCCTTCCACCTCAGCCTTCCAAGTAGCTGGAACTACAGGCAAGCGCTACCATGCCCGGCTGATTTTTTGATTTTTTATTGTAGAGATGAGGTCTCGCCAAGTTGCCCAGGCGGGTCTCGAACCCGCGGGCTCAGGCAATCCACTCACCTCGGCCTCCCAAAGTGCTGGAATTACAGGCTGAGTCACCGAGCCTGGCGGTTCTAAATTCTTACCCAGCAGGATTCTTCCTATCTGCACTTCTCCTGGTCAGAGGAGGAACACTTGGCTAACAAAGAGGAAGAACTTGTCCTCATCATTTAGGCAGAAGAGAAGATCACAGGGACTCTGTAGAGAGAGATGGAATGTAAGCCTCTTAGAGAAATCAGGCAGGTTGGATGTAGGAATCATATGTTTTGACAGCAAGGACCCTTAGGAATCTATAAGACTGCTTTTACAGATCAAGAATCCTGCTGGGCAAGGTGGCTCATGCCTGTAATTTCAACACTTTGGGGAGACCAAGATGGGAAGATTGCTTGAGGCGAGGAGTTCAAGAGCAGCCTGCGCAACATAGCAAGACCCCATCTCTACACAAAAAATTTTTTCTTAAATAGCCAGGTGTGGTGACACACACCTGTAGTCTCACTGGGGAGGCTAAAGCAGGACTGAGTGAACTGGGAGGTCGAGGCTGTGGTGAGCCATGATTGTGCCACTGCACTTCAGCCTGGTTGACAGAGTGAGACCCTGACAAAAAATAAAAGAAACCTCCAGTGCAGTGGTTTAGCCTGTAATCCTAGCACTTTGGGAGGCCAAGACAGGAGGATCATTTGACCAGGGGTTCAAGACCAGCCTGGGCAACATAGTGAACTGCCATCTGTACTTTAAAAAAAATTTTAAAAGGCCAGATGCCTGTAATCCCAGCACTTTTGAAGATGGAGGCAAGAGGATTGCCTGAGCCCACAGGTTCAAGACCAGCCTGGGCAATGTGGCGAGACCTCGTCTCTACAGTAAGTCACAAAAAAAAAATTAGCCAGAAATGGTGGCATGTGCCTATAGTTCCAGCTACTTGGAAGATTGAAGTGGAAGGACCACCTGAACCCAGCAGGTTGAGGCTGTAGTGGCCATGAGTATGCCACTGTACTCTAGTCTGGGAAACAGAATGAGATGTCAACTCAAAAATAAATAAATAAGAGAGAGAAAGACAGAAACCGAGGTCCAGAAAGGAGAAGAGACTTGTCCAGGTTCACAAAGCTTTTGTTCACTGTAATAGCCAGTGAGTGACTGTTTCTGGCATTTAATGCCAAGCTCTTCCTGCAGCATGAGTGTCTTCCCAGTTGTCCTTTGGTAGACTATACCTGTCAGATGCTTAACAAACATTTATCTTGTCAGTGCTGATAAGTCCTTGCTCAAAGCCTTCTCCTTTTGCTAACTTTAATAAAGATACAGGTTGTAGGAAAACTGGAGTTACAAAGGAACCGTGTAGAATGGCTGAGAGAGTGGGTTTTCAGTGATCCTGAACTGTGAGAGGGATGTCTTTCTGACAAATCTTTGGAAGGGTTTGTTGCCTGTAAATGCTGTCTTTGTGTCACTTTCTTTTTTTTTTTTTGAGTTGGAGTCTTACTCTCTCGCCCAGAGTGGAGTGCAGCGGCCGCTCCCGGCCACCACAGCCTCCACCTGCTGGGCTCCGGCGATCCTTCCGCCTCAGCCTTCCAAGTAGCCGGAATTACAAGCACACGCTACCATGCCCGGCTGATTTTTTGATTTATTGTAGAGATGAGGTCTCACTGCCCAGGCGGGTCTCGAACCCGCGGGCTCGGGCAATCCACTCACCTCAGTCTCCCAAAGGCGCGGGATTACAGGCTGAGCCACTGAGCCCGGCTTGTGTCACTTACTTTTTTTTTTTTTTAAGTTGGAGTCTCACTCGGTCGCCCAGACTGGAGTGCAATGGCCGCTCCCGGCCACCACAGCCTCACCTGCTAGGCTCCAGTGATCCTTCCACCTCAGCCTTCCGAGAAGCCGGAATTACAGGCATGCGCTACCACGCCTGGCTAATTTTTTTGATTTATTGTAGAGATGAGGTCTCACTGCCCAGGCGGGTCTCAAACCCGCGGGCTCAGGCAATCCACTCACCTCAGCCTCCCAAAGGCGCGGGATTACAGGCTGAGCCACCGAGCCCGGCTATGTCACTTTCAGTTCCATCTTCCTTCCTCACCCCCAGGAATGCTGGATGTAGCCTGTCTCCAGGCACTTTCCCCAAGAAAGTGTTCCACCTGGGGTCGGGTGGGAATGAGGCCGCTGTGGGCTGTTTCATAAGCACACTTAGTCTCGACCACGCATGGTGCAGCGTTTCCATGCAGATACACTTCTCATGCTGAGCTAGCATTCTGTCGTGTTTAGACCCAAATGAAATAATGCTGGGAAAAAACATAATGTAGAATTAATTTCTAGACCCTGCCCATAAAGTAGTATAAGTAGCAAACTGGGGCATTGAAAATCAGCCTTGGCAATACAGTTGCTGACAAAGAGAAAACAGCTTTTTCCAGTGACACATCATCAGCCTTTTTTTCACCTTTAGCTTTTGTGTGACCCTTCCCACCCGGCAGGAGGCCAGATCAGCTTCGATGTCTTTCCTGATGGATGGGACAAGAGGTATTGCCTAGGACATGTGGAAAATGACGGTTATAGGACCATCTACTTCTTTGGAGACAAAACTATGCCGGTAAGTACAGATGTGTTTTTGCATTTCATTGTCCAGTGAAACAATGAGGGGGGAAATTGACAAATGGGCTTTTCCCCCTCACCCACACTTTACCCACGGCCTAGCTCAAACTGTGTGGCTCTGTCCCGGAGAGGGGTGTGGTTAAACATCTCCCCTATACACTCACACCTGACACCTTGGAGGATTGAGCTGCTGGTAAGTTGATCCTTTTCAGTGTGGCTTTTGAATTAAATATTGGCCCCTTTCATTGCCCTCAGGCCCAGTGCTGTTGTCAGACCCTCTGCATTTCCAAGCCCTTGCTGTTTTATCCTATTTTTTCACTCGTGAGTCTGGAACTCAGGAGAGAGCATTAGGTTCAGTTAAGAAGGGGGGTCACTTCTGGGTGTCACAGAAAGATGCTGGGAGCTGTCCTAGTGTGTCGGAAACCCCAAGTCCAGGACCAAATCTAGACTGGTAGCTGAGATCGGAGCCCAGTGTTGAGGGCCAGGGCCATAGGAGGAGCTGAATACAGGAGACTCCCCGGAGCCACTGGGGCAGCAGAGTGGGTGCCCTGGAATGGTGGATCCAGCAGGTCAAAGGGTGTTACTGCCACTCAGGCCCAGTGCCCCTTGTTTGTCACCCAGCCTCGGGCTCAGCATCTCTTGGCCAGATCTTAGGTTTCTCTGTGGCCCCTGGTCTCCCTCCTGTGTGCCGCCAGGGTATCAGTTACCTTGCAGCCAGGGTCCTGTTTCAGGCTTTCTGGTCATCCTTCTCGTAGCAGGTGTGTCCTAAATGCTGCATAGACACAAGTTGTCAGCTGTCCGATCTCTGGTCCACTCCAAAATACTCAATGCTCTGCTAAGACCTGCCTCATGAGGGGTCAGCCCTTTAGCAAGGTCCGCTTGTCATAGTCTTCCAGGAAAGGGGACTCTGGGATAGCTTGGGCCTGTCTCTTGCTTTCAAATGATAAAACCGGAACTCATAACTGACCTGCCTGAGGTCACACAGCGAATGACAGCTGGTGGCATCAGAACAAGTCCACTAGCTCTTTGTTTTAAGTAGCATCGTGGAGGTATAACTGATGTAGAGAAGCTGCACATATTTAATATGTACATCTTCGTAAATTTGGACATCTTTGTGCCTCTTTGGTTTAAGGGACTTTAGAATGTTGTAAGGGCACTTAATGTGGTATTGTTGGCTCCAAGCACTACGTTGTCCCACAGATTTCTAGAACTTTCTCATCTTACATAACTGAAGTTGTTTGCCCACTGAAGAGCAACTCTATTTCCCCTCCCCCCAGTCCCTGGCATTCTATTATTCTCTGCTTCTGTAAGTTTGATGATTTTAGAAATCTCAGATGCCCAGCCCTGCACCCGCCGCCGCCGCCGGCTTCCACCATGGCCCGCGCAAGCCTCTCTTGTGCCCGGGCTGGGATCCCGCAGCGCCGGGGTGGCGGGCGCTCCCTGCGACGGAGGGTGGGGCCCCGCCTTGGATGGACAGAGGGTGTGGGGCGTCGGCCCCCGAGGGCACAGGGTCTCTGCAAACAAGAGCAGCAGAGAATACACAGAGGACCTTGCAATGTTGGTGTGTGAGCAGGAGTTGAAGTGGAGATCAAAAGTCCAAGCCTTGGATGCTGAAGTTCTGCAATTACGTCAAAAACTTCTGAGTGGGATTTGTTCAGGATTGCTTAAGAGCAAGTCTCACTCCTTCGTCCAGGCTGGAGTGCAGTGGCATGCACACTCATGGTCACTCCAGCATCGACCTTCTGGGCTCCAGCAATCCTTCCTCCTCAGCCTTCTGAATAGCCGGAACTACAGACGTGTGCTGCCACGACCGTGTGTCTATTTTGTGCGGGGATTGGGAGGCGTGTTAAAGACGAGGAGACCGAGAAGGAAAATAAAGAGGGAGAAGAAAAGAATGAAAGATGAGATCGGAAAGTTAAAGCACACCCTAAATATAATTAAGACAAATATGTTCTTGGATGGCAACTTGGCCTGGTTTCCATTTGGGCTGTAGAAAGAGGGAGTGTGTGATCACCTATCAATGCAACTTTTGAAATGAAGCTACTGCACACAATCATGGTGCATAGTTTTCTACTTGATGTTTACCACAGCCATTCCCTGCCTCCTGCCTTCCTCTACTCTCCCATAAAAATTTGAAGGTGTCTAACAGAAGATTACTCTGAAGACTCAACTGGCTATGAACAGTGATGCCATCTCACAGGCAGAAGGAAATACAGTCAAGGGCAGGTCAGTGAAAATGGCCAACGCTGAACTGCACAGATGACTCAGTGTAGAATATTGGTAAGTTATTGGAACTTGGAACTGGAGAGACTTGGGTTTGAAAACCAGTTCTGTCACTTACCAGCTGTCTGACATTGGCAAAATGACTTAAACTCCCTAAGCCTCAACCAGAGAATGAGGATGATAATAATGATGCCTAATGCTCTAAGAATTCAGTGACAGAGTGTCTGCGGAACACATAGCGTATGGCCTAATACCAAGGTCTCAGTAAAGAATACCGATTTTTATTTGTGAATTACAGGTGAAAAAGTAATAAAAAATAAACAGAAAAAAAAAAAAGAAATCTCATATAAGTGGGATCATGTAGTATTTGTCCTTCTGTAACTGGTTTATTTCACTTAGTGTGATATCTTCCGGGTTCATTCGTGCTATCGCAAATGGCAGAATTCCCTTTTTTTTTTAAGACTGAATAATGTTTTGTTGTATGAATAGAACACGTTTTCTGTACCCATCCATCTGTCAGGAGACACGTGCTTGTTTCTGTGTCTTGGCCATTGCGAACAATGCTGCAGTGAACATGCCTGTGGATCAAAAACATAAATAGGTCCTGAAACTGTAAAACTCCTAGAAGAAGAAAAAACATAGGCGGAAAGCAGTGATTGTTTGGATATGACACCAAAAGCAACAGGCAACAGAAGCAAATCAACTCCCGGGACTGCATCGACTGAAAAGCTTCTATACTGCAGAGACCATCAGTACACAAAGGTGGCCCACAGAAAGGCAGAAGACGTTCAAAGAACAGATCGCGTGAAGGGCTAGTATCCAGAATAGACACAAAGCAACAACTCAACAACAAGAAAAATGAGCAAAGGACTGGAATAGACATTTTTCCAAAGACATGAAAATGGCCAACGGGTATATGAAAAATAGGTTCAGCGTCACTCATCAGAGAAATGTAAATCAAAACCACAATGAGACATCATCTCATACCTGTCAGGATAGCGATAATTTTTTTTAAAGTAGTATTGTGGGAGACAGAGGCAAGAGGATTGCCTGAGTTCAGGGGTTCGAGATCAGTCTGGGCAACTTGGCAAGACCTCATCTCTATAATAAATTTAAAAATTACCTGAGCCGGGCTTGGTGGCTTAGCCTGTAATCCCGTGCTTTGGGAGGCTGAGGTGAGTGGATTGCCTGAGCCCGCAGGTTCAAGACCTGCCTGGGCAACTTGGCGAGACCTCATCTCTACAATAAATCAAAAAATCAGCTGGGCGTGGTAGCACGTGCCTGTAGTTCCAGCTACTTGGAAGGCTGAGGTGGAAGGATTGTCGGAGCCCAGCAGGTCGAGTCTGCGGTGGCCGGGAGCAGCCACTGTACTGCAGTCTGGATGACAGAGTGAGACTCCAACTCAAAAAAAAAAATTAACTGGACATAGGGGCACAGGCCTGTAGTCCCAGCTACTTGGAAGCCTGAGTCCAGTAAGTCGAGGCTGTGATGGCTGTGAGTGTGCCACTTTACTTTAGCCTGGGCGACAGAGTGAGACTCCTGCTCAAAAAAAAAAAAAAAAATAGAGCTACCATACATTTTAGCAGTTTCATTTCTGGGTGTGTATCCAAAATAATTGAAATTGGGGTCTCAAAGAGGTGGCTGCTCATGTTTTTTTTTTTTTTTTTTTTTTTTAGTCAGACCCTCACTGTCACCCAGGCAGGAGTACAGTGGCACACTCATGGCTACTGCAGCCTCAAACCTGCTGGACTCAGGTGATCCTTCCACCTCAGTCTCCCAAGTAGGTGGAACTTCAGGTGTGCACCACCATGCCTGGCTAATTTTTCTTAATTTATTGTAGCGATGAGGTCTCACCAAATTGCCCAGGGTGGTCTCAAACCACTGGGCTGAGGCAATCCTCTCGCTTCAGCCTCCTAAAGTTCTGGGTTCTCAGGCGTGAGCCAACATTCCCAGTTTGGGTTTGTTTTTTTTTTTTAAGTAGAGATAGGGTCATGCTTTGTTGCCCAGGTTGAACTCAGACTACTCCTGGGCTCAAGCATCCTATCTCAGCGTCCTGAGTAGCTTGGACTACAGGTGCATGCTACCGTGCAGCCTGCTCTTTTATTTTTATTTTATTTTATTTTATTTTATTTTATTTTATTTTATTTTTGAGTTGGAGTCTCACTCTGTCGCCCAGACTGGAGTGCAGTGGCCGCTTCC